TTCCAACAGGGCCAAGTTGCTCTCCCGCCCAGAACCTTCTTCATCCCTGTGTGTCAGTCAACCCCTGCTGCATCTCCTTATCCTCACCTGCTGCCCATGGGTTAGTACGGGGTGATGTGGTTTGTAAAACTCAGGGACAGGAAGTTTAGGACCAGAGAGAGTGCTGGATTCACAACTGAAATACTTAAGTTATGGTCTTCTGCTGCCACTGGTCTTGGTTGCACTTGATCTTATTTTCCTTTTCGCTGTAATAAAGATTGAACTAGAAGATGGCATATGGTCCTGCGTGTCCTGCTAGTTTTGTTTTGTTGCAGTGCTGGAGATCAAACCCAGGGCTCGTGCATGTCAGGCAAAAACTCTACAGCTGAGCTATACCCACAACCCCTACACGGCTGTCTTTCATTGTTGAAATTATTTAATGCATTTTCTTTTGTGTGTTATTTGCATTGTAATTTATTTGAGGGCAAAGATCATTTCTTGTATTTCTTCCATATGTCAAAAAATATTTTTCTTGTCATATATTGCATGCTCATGGTAGAAATTTTAGAGAATAATAAAAGCAGATGAATACTAAAAGTCAGTTTTTTCCTACTATACTCTTACAACATTCTTATGAAATAAGACTGGCAGGGCAGGGAGATTCCTCACCCACCGAGCAAGTAATGCTGCAGAATCAGACACTGGCTGGGTGTCCTTAAATTCAATTTATTTTTGACACTGTCTTCTTGGAGGTAACAACAGTTCCCACAGGTTGAGGGCTTAGCCCTGCAAGACACCAGCTATTAATTAGGGTTCCCTGTTTACCTCTTCCTTTATTAATTTGGTAGAGAGGTTCACGAAATTAAGGGAAACATTTACCAGCTTATTATAAAAGTTATCACCAAAACAATAAAAAATAATTTATCAGAAAGGATCCAGATAAAGAGGTGCATAGAATGAAGTATGGGTGTGCCACCCTCCAAGAACTTCTATGCATTCAGCTCCCAGACTCTTCAAAACTTTTCTTTTCAAGTTTTTATGACGGCTCTGCTAGCACAGGCATAATCTATTTATTTATATTTTTAAATTTTTATGCATTTATTTAGTTTTATGTGGTGCTGAGGATCAAACCCAGGGCTTCGCATGTGTTAGGTGAGAGCTCTACCGCTGAGCCACAACCCCAGCCTGATATATTATTTCATTGGCCAACTTCACCATCAGGCCCTACTCTTTGTCAGTTCTTAGCATATAAAAAGTCACTTGTCATTTATCACTTTGAAGATTTCATGGATTTTAGGAGATGTGTGCCAGGAAATGGGATGAAGACCAAAAGTTTATTTCACAATATCACAATATTTATAAAAAAAAAGAAAGTAAAATCACTTCTTTCAACATCTAGAGATAACCATTGACAGTTCTTTGATGTATATCCATAAGAATCCTTTTCTATGTTCTTTTATTTATGTACATGTGTATATGTATTTTATTTTTAAACTTTTATTCTAAAATGTTCATACTGTATAATTTTGACCATTTTGAGTATAATTCATGGCATTTTTAAGTATATACATGCACATTGTTAAAGAACCATCATCACTATCCATCTCCATTGTAAATGATGACATGAAATAATAAGACAGCTTACTCTGAACCAAGTATGAGTGGCATGGGAACATGGATTCAAGTTGCCTGAATGACTTGTTCTGATGTGGAAGAGGTTACATGAACTATTTTGTAGCCAAAGAACGAAAGTCATCAATCAATATGTTTAAGAAATAAATTGGTTGGGCCAGTAGGTAGGTAAGCTGTAGCAAAGAGGGAAAGTTTTTCCTATAGGTATTGACTGTTACAGCCTTCTTAGCTTTAGGATTGGCAGAGGCTAGAGGTCTATTAAGATGTTAATATATTTTGAGAGGTTTATCTAATAGGATAATGTTAGGTCAGATAAAAAAGTAAATGGCTTTTTTTTTTCTAAAGGTCTCAATGTAGCCCAAGCTAATTTTGCCTCTCAAGCTACAATTTGCCATCTCTCCACAATCACGATGTTCTCAGCTGACATCAGTCTGCATAATCTTTAATACAGATGTAGCACTGGGGAATAAAATTGATTTACATTATATGCATGTACAATTATGTCACAATAAATTCTATTATTATGTATACTTATAATGCACCAATAAAAATTAATTGAAAATTTTTTAAAAAAAGAATGATGCCTGACACTCACTTTGGCAGTACATATACTAGCAAGAAAAAAGTGTGACACCAGTAGTTCAGCAGTTTTAATAGAATACAGTGTGTTTTTCTTCCTAGAGATAGCATTGAAAAAAGAAAGTGTAATGTGGATAGGTGAAATTTATGTTTGGTTTTGAACATGTTTTATTTGAAGAAGCTTTAAAAACAATTTCAAAATATCTCAACAATTCACTTACATATAAAGCTACAAATATCAGAGAATAAGAAGTGGAGATATAAATTTATGAATCAAATTGTGGCATAACATATTAGTAAAGTACAAACACTCTTCACACAGACAACCTGGATTTGGAAATGTCTCCACCTCTCAGAAGCTGTATAATCTCTGGAAAGTTATTTGCCCTGTCTGTGGGTAGTTTCTTCATCTGTATATAATAATTTTTTATTAGTTGGAAGTAAATAAGTTAATATTTGTGAAGTAAATATTAGTATAGTATCTAGTACATATGGTTATTTTTGTGTTTTGTAGTATAATAATGGGTAGAGGTAGTAATTAATGCTTATAAGCATGTATGAAATCACCTGCGGAGGCAGGACAGTTTGAGAAAATAAGATTAATGATCAAGATTTAAGGAACTCCCTTATTTAATGACTGAGAAGAGAAGGATGAAACTTCAAAAGATCTGAGGAGAAATCTATAAAAAGGTAGGAGGAAATCAATGAATGAAAATTGCCAATGGCTTTGAGTGAGGGAATAATTAATATTGCTGTTGAGTGAAGATTCTTAATAAGTGTGACACACACAGCATCAATTGCAATAAATGGATGTCTGAGTGGTTTAATGACTACAGCGATTGCTGTGATGCACATCCCAGAATACTCTTAAGGAATGAAGGTCATATTCTCCCAGATATTGGGAGTGCTGCCAGCAGACAAGCTTTATCAATCAGCCTCTTTGAATAACTGATTTTGACTAAAGAGATCCTTCTTATCCAAAGGCATAAACTCTTCATCACAGTCTTCAAACAGTAACCGATCATCATAAAGCTGTCACCCTGCTGGATAAAACATCTAAAGTTCATGCCAGTTTTGGACTTCTATGTGGGGCAGGCTAAGGCCTTGTCTGAGATTGGAGATCATAGCTTAGCTTCTCACTCTGCTTTTTGCTTCCTGTCCTTTATTTCCACAGATATTGACCTCTAATACACCTTCTGCATACCCAACTCCATCCTAAGAATCTGCTTCCCAGAAAACCCATCCTGAGATACTTAGTCTTATTTATAGGGAGTGGTGATGAATATGAGAAGCAAAGGGTAAGAAATGATAGATAAATGAAAAAATATAACAAGCAGGAATGGGAAACGCTTTCAAGTAATTTGCTTTCACAGATAGATGAAAAATTCACAGCAACATTAAGAACTCACCACTCTACCCCCTCTTCAGTAATGAGACAGATATAGGTAAATTCTATATAGTTGAAGTTAACCTTCAACCGAGTGAAGAGAAGTTAGTATTTTTTATTATATATGGACATGAAGTTTTTTAAACAAGTATTATTTCCTTATGGGGTTACAGAAAGAAATAACTCCATTTAATTTAAAAAAAATTTATCTTAATCAGTTATACATGACAATAGAATGCATTTATGCACTTTGATATAGCACACACAGATGGGATATAATTTCTCAATTTTCTGAGTGTACATGTTGTAGAATCACGTTGGCCATGGCAGACAACATACATAAAATAATAATGTCTGTTTCACTCTATTATCCTTCTTGTTTCCATCTCCCTTCCCCTCCCTTCACTTCCCTCTATCTAATCAAAGATAACTCAATTCTTCTCTAGTGCCCCCCCCCTTGTGAATTAACTTCCACATATCAGAGATAACATTCAGCTTTGGGTTTGATGAGCCACATCCATTCACAGTTGCTGAACTATGGAACTACTCTAGGTATCCTTCAATAGATGCGTGTATAAAGAAAATGTGGTATATATTCAATGGACTATTACTCAGCTTTAAAGAAGAATGAAATCATTCCATTTGCTGTACCTGTAAATGGATAATAAATAAATGGCGAATATCATGGGAAGCGAAATAAGCCCATCAAAAATAACTCCATTTGTAAATAATCAAAATAAACATTCAAATTGGCTACTTAACTGTCTCCTAAATTTGAGAAGTGCCAGTCAGTTTTTTCCAGGGATTGCCTACACTAGATAAAACTGGATTTGGGGAACTACCCCTCCCACATCATTTTGGAGCCAATTTAACTATAATGTCTACCCTTTAAACAGAGACCGAAGCCATTTCAGATATTTAACTTCAGTATTCCAGAAACTTCTGAAAAGCGTTTCTCTGGAGATTCAAACAAAGGTGTCAAAAAATGTTTTCATAAGGAATAATATTTTTCGGGACTTAACAAATCGTTTATATGGCAATAAATGACAGTTTTGACTGAGACATGAAAGTGTAAGTGGAAGAAGGGGTTAAATAAGTCTAGAGGAAAAAGCTCAAGAAGTGGGGGGAGACTTTCAGGGAACCAGTAACAAGACTTCTTTAGGAAGACATCTAAAACTTTTTCACACCACTAGTGTAGGAGTACTCCAAAAGGCCTGCCTTAGTCTTTTCAAACAAGGGCAAGGCATGAAAACTTAGGCTAGAAGCAAAACGACAAAAAATTTACGATTGACCCCGGAAATATTTTATTTTGCGTAGACGTCCGGAGAATTTTCTTTTGCGATTTGTTCCTTGATCCGGAAGAAGAGATGGCAAACTTCACTCGCGATTGGGTCGCATTGTAAGGGCGGAGCCTTAGCGAGCCACTCGCCTTAGTAACCGGACATGACGATGCCGGATGCCCCGGGTCTGAGCTTTGCTCTGGCAACCGGCTTCGGTGGGCGGGGCGGCAGAGCCAAGTGGACGCCGCCGTCTTCACCGATCAGGCCCTTGTTGGGGGCGGTATCATTAAGGCCACACCTCCCTCTCCGGCTTTGAGGGCTGCGGAGCGATGACGTAAATTCGGAGGCGGAGACTTACGCTGAATCTCCGAGAGGGTTTGGGAGGGTGCAGACGCCGCGCGGAGCCTTCCGGTTTGTGGGTGGCTGCGCCACCTCCCTCGGAAGCTTGGGGATACGCCCTCTTGAGAGCCTGGGGTCTTCCTCCGTTCCGCATCGAACCCCTCACAATTGCTGCGGGGCAACTGAAGCCCAATATTCTCTCGTTGTGACTTTCGCTTCCTTGAGAACCTCAGCCCCACATTCCCCACTTTGCTGGATGATCTGTCCCTTCCCCCACCCTCTAAAATGTCCAATAATCTACAGAGGGTCTTCCTGAAACCCGCAGAGGAAAATTCAGGCCACGCCTCACATTGGTAAGTACCGGTTTCGAACCCTCCACGCGCCCGCCCCTGGCCCGGTCTCTAGGCAGGCTGTCGAGGGGGCCGTCGTTTCCCGACGCTGCGCAGTGTACCGGAGTCGGACCCCCGCCGAGTGCGCCACTCCAGCGGAAAGCGCTCGTCGCCGGCGCTCCAGCGAGCGTCTCCCTCCCGGAAACGTAAAGGCTCTCCGGAGCCTGACGCACGCAGCCCTGCGCGGGCTCGGCAGGACTCCAGCAGCTCGAGTTTCATAGGCGCACTGAGTAGATCTCCACGGGCGAGGAGAATCAACATGGCCGACGCACTGTGTGACCAAACCCTTCTAGAAGATTCTCAGGCGCCGGCAGAAAAACACGCTGTGGGCGTGGATTAGCAAGTGCAGCCTTGGGGGCGCTGGACCTTCAGCTAGAATAGGCGCCTTTTCAGAGAGTAAGTGAGAAAGACGGGATATAAAATTGAAGAAAACTTGTGCTAGGACAAGGAAATAGACCATTTCAATTTTCAAATAATAGCTTTATGTAAAGAGGAGAGGAAAGAAAAATTCTCGTGTAAATCCAGTACTTAGGAGATTGTGACATCATTGAATGTCTAGAGAGCACAGTAGTTGACTGGAGGGGCGTTCAGTACGTGTATATGCGTTAGATCGTTTTTTTTTAGAAAGACATTCTTGTAAACTTTGGGAAATTGATTATCAGTAATTCTGAATTTTTAAAAAGTTTGTTATTCAAGATTAAATGGGAACAACAAAATATTAACAGGGATATATACCATAGTCGGTGTATTTTAGGTGCGAGAATAATATTAGGTCTCCAGACTGATTACAAAGAACGACATTAGATGCAAAACTCATAAAAGGGAATTTGTGTTTGAAGAAAATCAGGCCATCTGATGTTAATCCCAGCTTTATGGGTTGGTATTTATGAATTCTAGGGCTTTAGTTTCCAGTTTGTAAATAATAGCATCTAGAGATATTTTAAGATTTAAAAGAAAAAAAAAAATATATATATATATATATATATATATATGATAGTGTTAAGGAAAGAGTAAGGCACTATTAAAATATTAGCTGTTTTTGATATGTGAGTAACCCAGGACATAGGATTATTACCTGGCTTAAGGGTAATTCTTTAAAATTATGCATAGTATTATAAAAGGAAACGGTTATTAATAAGTACTAAGCTAGAACAATATTAAAGAACTACTTGGAAACAACCGTTGTATTGCACATCATAAAAAGAGCTTTTGTGTATATACAGTTTTTATTTCGTGGAAGTTTTGGGGAAGGTGCAGAGATAACGCTCTGTATGTAAATGCAATAGTAGAATTGTTTTCTATTGATTGTTTAATTTTTCGTACCTTGTTTTAGTATTTAGGTGTTTGGTAGCTCTGACTTAGCATAATTTGTAGACAGTTCATTTTAAGATTGCATTAATTTCCAAAATCAGGAATAAGATTTGAGATATTTTAAAGGTTATTTATTGTGTACTTGAATTTTTTTAATCCAGTTTCTAATCCTTTTGGTTATTTTTTTTTTTACTTTAAAAAAATCATTGTCAGTTAAATTGTTTTGGTTACATTCATAAATCACTTCAAGTTGTTAACTCATTGGTTTATGCATTGTTGTTTCTTCATATTTACATGCATTTATTTCTTTAAATTGTTGAGGTTTTTACGTCACATATTTTGAACATTCACCCAATGGTTTTCTGAAGCTATTTAGCACTTCAGTTATCACTTGCATATTTGCTTCTATTCTGTTTTGTGAGTAATAGCATGCATATGTCCAAATATAATTCTGTAAGTAATGATTAATGGCATCTATTTTAGTTTAATGCAAGTTTAGTTATTTTTATGATAATAATTTTGATGGTACTAAATCATTTGTTCATAAAATGATTGATTTTCTTAATTTCTGTAGTTTCAATTTTTCCTGAGTTATTGCTCTTTTCCTTTTTAGGAAAATTCAGTAACATGGTATGGAATGTTTATTGTAATTCATCCAGATTTAAAATGTAAAACCCAAATTTAATCTTACAAGTCCAAAGGGAAAATCTGGAAAATATTTGTGATAGTACCTATGTAGGTTTGCACTGAGTACCTACTATGTGCTAAATTGGGAGACTGAAGAATGGGCTATCAGCCATTGCCATGAAAAACCTTATAGTCTAATGAGAGGGTTGAGGACTATGTGCTAAATTGGGAGACTGAAGAATGGGCTATCAGCCATTGCCATGAAAAACCTTATAGTCTAATGAGAGGGTTGAGGAGAAGCAGATGTATAAATTTTATGATAGTGTTATTCATGAGGTGCTGTCAGGGCACAGAGCCAGGAAGTTATAGGAAAGGTTTCAGAAGCAACCAAGTTAGGAAACATAAGTGTCAACCATCCAGTTAAAGACAGATACATGATATGCCCAGAGAAAATTTGGTAAATAACCAATATGGTTAGTTTCTAACAATTTAGAATTTGCTTGATTTTTTTGTATTATGAACAGGATAAGTAGAGCACTCTTAAGAGTTGGCTTGCCCTGCTGAAGAGGTTATTTTTCATCTGTTGGAGATTGTTTAGAAGATTTTAGGAGAAGATTGACATGCTTAAGTGTATATTTTAGATAACTGATGTCAGTATAGATTTGAAAGTAAGATAGGTCTTTTCAGAGATCCTGAGGGTACCTGAACTAGAATGGTGTATAGGAGGCATTGGATTTAAAGTAGTAGTATGGAAAATAAGCAGACCTTGTTATTGATTGCCATGAAGAAAGTGAAATCAATGATAGTATGAGTTTTCTGGGTGTATATTGGTAAATTAACTGAGATAAAGAATACCCAAAGCAATCAGAAGGATATTTGAATCTGAAACCCCAGGATGAAAGCTGAAAATAGAAAATTGGGAGTCATTGAGTTTAGAGGTATTATAACATAAACCTCTGATTATACATTCTCCAGCAAGAGGAATTAGTTATGTGATTGGCAGTTAACGTCTGTCCTCCCTTAACCCTTTGTTTTCCAGCTATAATTAGTGTCCTCAACAGGGGTCTTGCTTTGGTTAGAAAGATAATGTTTCACTTTCAGTTTGGTGTACATTTGAATGTACAAGTTTCATTTTTACTTTTGAAATTTGTATGAGCATGTGAGATGGGGGAGGGAGAGAGGGAGAGTTAAACTGTATGTACATGCTAACAAATCTGTCATTAATCTGTGGGTTGATACATTTGAATTTTTGGGCTCTGTTTTGGTGGAGTTATGCTAAATACAGAAAGTGCATAGGATTGTTCAAGAAGAGCATGTATTCTGCAAAAGTTTACACTATTTCTAACCACCTTGCTTTTTCAACTATGAAGTGTTAATGACACTACCCACCTAGTAGGGCAAGTAGAAGTACAATTAATGACAGCTATTATATAATACATTTAATATGTGACATATGTTGTTATATGTAACAAGTACTTACATATATTATGTAACATTATGTACTTAATGTTGCATAATAGATAGTAAGATAGAAAAGGGACTCCTAGCAGTTGAAATGATGTATTTTATGGTAATATTTCAAAATTTTTTTCATCCTATTTGAATATGCATCTCATACCAGTATTAGAATACTCAAAAAAGTGTCCAAAGTTATATAATAATGTCAGTATGTTTAATAGGCTTTTTTTTTTTTCTTTTGGAGATGGAGTCGCACTAAGTTGCTCAGGATGGTCTTGAACTTGGCTCAAGTGATCCTCCCATCTCAACTTCCCAAATAGCTGGGATAGGTGTGCACCACAGTGCCCTGCTTAATAGGCCTTTTGGTTAGTTTTTATAATGTTTTCAAAAGACTTTATTTTTGGAGACCAATTGCAAAATTTAATGGAAGACTATATCTATCATGCTCCATGGCAGTTTATAACATTATAGCTATCCTTATTTTCTCCATATAACAGATGAATAAATAGAGATTTGAAGAGGACATGTAAATTTCTTTTTAAGTGACTAAGCCAGAACACAGGAAGTAGATTCTGATTCTAGTTTTAGTTCAGTCATCCAGCAGAATATGATCTTTAAGAAAATAGCATCTTTGTAGGATTTGATTAGTTAGTTAATCTTTTAAATGGAGTGTTAACTTCTAGATGTGGGGAAAAAAGAATATTGATTGAAAGAGTATGAATTTTACTATAATGTATCACTTTTTTCCTTAACTTTCTGCATTTCAGCTTAGTACTTAGAATCCATTCTATTTTATTGCCAGGAAATTAGGGATTTTTAAAATTATAGTTTGTAGGATTCAATCCAGCTAACTAAAGTTCATTTGCTCTATTATGTGCACAGGATGTAGGTGTTAATAGAGTAAACTACCCTTGAGGAATTTATAGTCTCTGGTAGATTATGTGTATCTTTACTGATATGTAGACTTGGAAGAAGCTGCATTTTCCCTCTTTGTGAAGGAAGCATGTGGGGATTTCATTAATTAGATTTCAAAATAATTTTTGCAATAATTTTTTTAAAGCAGAAATGTAGAGGCCATCTAATGTAGTATGTAAAGGATCAGAAATATATGTAATTTGTTGAAATACCATCTCAATTAAAACATGTTTACTCTTACACAAATACTTATAAAGGATGTGTTCTACTCACATGAAACTTCTAGTTGTTAGGCAGATTTTGCTGATAAATGAAGTATATAATTATATGAAAGGATACTAAACAATAAAAAGCATTGAGATAGTTGAGTTGAAATGGTGACTGGAAAGAACTGCATCATTTTTCATATAATATTTTTCAAGGGTCTGCTGTGCTTGGTAGTTGAAGAACAAATGCAAGTCATTGATATGGTGTCTTAAGGAATTCAGTGTTACTGGGGGAAATATCATTTTGTTTTATTTTTTAAAAATAGCTAGTAGATAAAAGGCAATAAAGAAGATATTACGTAACTTCCAGCTTCAGTTGCACCAGTGAAAGTGTTTCAGTGATTCCAAAGTTGAAAGAAACTGTGAGATTGAATGACTGGCAGGTGT